CTGAGAATTGGGGGAGGGGCGATGGGATATTCTGTATCTTGATTGTGGTGGTGGTTACATTGCAGACGTCTTAGCACTTTCTGTGCAGCGTCATTTATAAGAGAAAATTCTAGAAACAACCTAAATGTCATTCAGCAGAGAACCGGTGAAATTATCCGGGGAGTTGTCCTCAGCTGTTAAAAAAAAAAGGGCAAAGGAAATGAAGACATTCCTTGTGGCCCGAATTAAAATAATCTTAAAAAAAAAATGAATTCTTAATTACTTCAATGAAAAAATTAATTAAAAATATTTTTCATCGAAGGATTCTGATTTTTAAAAAGTTAAGAGAAACAAGGTAAAAATATTGTTAGCCACCATAGGTATTTGCTTAAATCTGTGTAAATTCTGGAAAGAAACACCGGCTGCCTGTGAGGAGGTGAACTTAGTGAAAGAAAGACTTTGTTTTTAGTATATAGCATCTCATATATTTAGAATTTTGTACTCTGAGTATATTAACCCTAATTTAAAAAATAACCAAAATATGCAAAAAGTTAAACAAAAACTTCTGGGGAGAAGTCCTGAAGGTGATAAGGTGCTTGGCAGCTTTCCATCATAAGTCGTTCTGTACAAGTAATTCGTTACTATGTGTGAAGATTATTGTTTATTTTTGGCCCTGCTTCATTAAACCAGCTCTCCTCCAGCCACTAGGTGGCAGTATGTTATAACCAAAAACTTGGAGTCACACACTGATTCAAATTCCAGTGCTCCCACAGTTAAGTTATAAACTCTGGATAAAACAGTATACAATAAGAGCATTTGAGATCCTACTTCTCAACATGTCATCGGTTGGGCTCGAATAAACTCTCATAAAAATTTTTAAACAAACTACAGTGAACTAAAGGCACTGGAAAAGTGAACAAAAGCAGACAGAAACTGGAAAACTGAAACAGTAAAAAAGGAAAGGCTGGGTAAGTGGGTATATATGGGAACTCTTAGTGGGTGAGTTTCTCTTCTGTACAGTTTTTAACCTGGGGGCAGTTTCCAGTCTGGCATGAGGGGCAGATGAAACACCAAAGGAGAAATCCAGTCTCCCTAGGCTGAAGCACCACAGCAACAGGAAACGGGGTATAAATCCTGGAAAAGAGAGGGCCGGAGAGGGGATACTCCAATATTGTGTAGAAACTCTGCTCAGATATCTAGCTGACCCTGCACCAGATGCATAGGGTACACTCCAAGATCAACCTAAAAACAGTGAACTGAATTTTGAGCTACAAATGTGTCGGAAGCCAGCCGACCAAGTCAAACCGGGTACCTGAATGGGAGAGCGGGGACTGAGAAAAAAGAGAAGACAGACAGGGTGCAGGAGGGAGAACAGATCTCGCAACTGTCTCTCCGAGTTTATTTCTTATGCTTCTTTTTATACATAATCAGTTCCTTTGTGTATCCCAAGATAACATAATTAAAGTAACATCCTGAAGAGAAAGGTACAATCGACACTTCCTTTGACACTCCCTTTGACACTCCCTTTATCTATACTTAATCTTCTTCTTCCTGGAATTCCACAGAACCAGCCTTTTCCTTTTTATGCAAGCAGGCTTCCCGAGATAATCCATGCACTCTTTTGAATTTGGGGAGTTTAGCTCTCTACACAAATGTCACAGGTTTATAGATATTACAATGAATCCAACCAAAAAAATTGTAGTTTTGTATTCTCGAAGCAAGAAATTGGAACAGGAAATTAAACAATTTCATTGACAACAGCATAAAAATACTTAGAGAAAATTTTTTTTCTTCTTTTTTTAGGTGAGGCAACCGTTGATTGACCCCACAGATTGCAAGGATCTTGTCAGCTTACAATCCCTTATTTTATTTTATTTTTTTATTATTTTTTTACACCTACAGCACCTGGTCTTCCTAGGTGGTCTCCCATCCAAGTACTAACCAAGCCTGACCCTGCTTAGCTTCCGAGATCAGACAGGATCGGACTTGTTCAGGGTAGCATGGCTGTAGACAGAGATAAATTTAAAAGACCTTTTATCTTTTACAAAAGTTAAAGACCTTTACTCCGAAAACTACAAAACATTGCTGAGATAATTTCAACACTTAGAGCAATGGGGAGATATACTATGTTCATGGATTGGAAGACAATCTTGTTAAAATGTCAGTTCTTCCAATATTTGGTCTATAGGTTTACCATCCGGCCCTACGTTATTTCCATCTCTTTCCCCTAAGAAGGAAAACAAAAATCATCAAATATGAGGGATCTGTGACTTGACCTATAAAGAGTATTTCTTTTTCTATTTTAGTTGCTTATGACTTTGTTAGGGGGCTTTATTTTCAAGGACAGTTTTACGTTTATGGAAAAATAAGGAGAAAGTACTAAGAGTTCCCATATATACCCACTTACCCAGCTTCCAGTTTCCTCTATTATTAACATCTAGCATTAGTGGGAAACTTTGTTATAATCGATAAACCGATATTGATACATTATTAGTAACTAAAGTACACAGATACATTAGGGTTCACTCTGTGTGATACATTCTGTGGGTTTTGACTCATGTATAATAACATCTATCCACTATTACAGGATCATATGGAATAGTTTTACTGCCCTAAAAATTGGAGATTTTTTAAAAGTAAACTTGGAAGTCTGCCATGCATAAAGGTGGATGCATTCTGCATGGACAGCTGGGTGAAGTTTTACAGGCTGCACAGCCCCAGGGAAGCAGTTGGGCTCGAATAAACATAAAGGTAGACACATTCTGCATGGACAGCTAGGTGAAGTTTTACAGGCTGCACAGCCCCAGGGAAGCAGTTCCCAGCTCAAGCTCAGCACCCCAGAACCCACCTCAGGTCCATTCCAGTTCTCCGCACCAAGGGGAGAACTTACCTCTCACTTCTTAGATTAGTTTTGCCTGTTCTTGAATTTCCTGTAAATGGAATCACGTAGCATGTGCTTCTGTGTTCGGCTTCTTTTGCTCTGCAGAACATCTGTGACATTCCTCCATGCCACTGGGGCGCCTCGAGATCACCTCCCCATTGTGGCGGCTTCCCTTGGGTGGAGGTCCCACCGTACACTTACCCCTTCTGTGGACGAGCGTGTGGGTTGTTTCCGGTTTGAGACTATTATGATTAAAGCGGCTACAAACCTTCGTTTTGTGAGCTTATTGCTATACTTCCATTTGGGAGCTTCCAGAAGTGGATTTACTAGGACAGACTGAGGCCCATGCTTAACTCTAGAGAATTTCCCCAGCAGGTCTCATGGGGCTGCAGAAGGAAGAAATGTCCGTCTAGTCCTCCTATCCTCCCACCCCTGCCTCCCTCCCGCCACCAGCAGTAAAGAGGCTGTTGTCACCTGAGTCAGCTCACATTCATTCTCTCAAAACCCTCCAGGGATCCATGGCTCACTGAGTAAATTCTGTCCCATCTTTCTGGGGCTCTGCCGCCCTCGATCTTGTCCCATCAGACCGGGACCATGATGACCCGCCTACAAGCCCTGTATGACCTGGTCCTGGTTCCCTATTTACCCTCACCTCTCCGTTCATGCACGGCCTTGCTGACAACTCACACTGCCTGCCACAGGGCCTTTGCACTTGCTGTTCCTCCTGGATGTCCCCAGGGCTCGCTCCCTCACTCGGTTTAGCAGTGAGGCCTCTCCTGGCCACTCGAGCGTCGCTGTCACCTGCTCTCCAGAAGGCAGAGCTCTCTGCCTGGCTTGTTCACTGTTGGGTCCGAGCTCTAGTGTCATTTTTCATTCTCAGGAACACTCTCAAACCCAGAACCTCCTCTTCAAATACCTCGTCCCCTCCTTCAGCCCACAGTCCTCCCAAATCCCAGCACGTCCCTCTCTGTCACAGCCCACAGTTCCTCCCCAGGCTCCCAGGACACCCTCAGAGAGACACACGGATGAGGCCCCACACCGGATTTTATTGCCTCTCTGGCAGTGATGGCGGGTGAGTGTGGGGTGAGGCCACACTGAGGGAGTGTCTCCTGTCTGTGTGGAGTGAGGCTCAGATTGTCACTTGGTGGGGGTTGGCGGGGTCAGTGGAGGCGCCTGGAGGCTGAGCTTGGCGTTGGGGGGGCCTGGGCTGGGAGATCCTGCCAATCAGAAATGGGTGGTCCCTCATCCTTCAGGACTGTGAGAGGCCTGGGGCGGGCGGGAAGGCTGGGAGGGGCTGCAGTGTCTCAGGGACAGAATTTGACGGTGGGTCTGGGAGAGCCCAGGCACAAGGGGCCACCGGGGCTGGGTCTGCATCCTGCAGGGCCAGACACAGAGCGGGGGACCTGGCCACCAGGTCATTCTCCTTGGGTCATTCCATGGGGCCACGAGGCTGTGGTGGGCATGCTGGGGCTCAGAGCTCGTCGTGGTGACGTGTCAGGTCCTCGCCGTAGTTGGTGGCCTGGCTGCCAACGAACATGTTCCAGTTGCCCAGGATCTCAGCCTTGCTCAGACGCCCGTCCTGGAGCGAGGGTCAGAGGTCAGAGGGGACAACACAGTGCCTTGTAGGTCTCTGCCCCTCTCTCTGAGTCCCTGTCCCCTCACTTTTGGGTGTCTGCCCCCTTCTCAAGGTCTCTGTTCCTCCTTTTCCCGGGCCCCTCCCGGTCTCCATGCCAAACGGGGACCCTGGCAGCTCCGGGCCCCGCTCATGGGACCGCGCGCCAGGCTGGCATCCATCCCCAGCGCGGCCCCCACGGCGCACCTTGTCCGTGTCGCTCTCGTGCAGCAGGTGGTTGGCCTCCACCAGCGGCTGGTCCTGGGCCGGGGGCAGCACCCAGTGGCCCACCTCGCTCCCGTCCAGATGCCCGTCCTTGTTCAGATCTCGGAAGTCCCGAAACTGCTCCCGCTCCGTCTGCACCCAGGCCGGCTCCTCCTCCCCCGGCTCCTGCGTGTACAGGTCCGCTGGGGACGTCGGAGACGGGGCGACGTCAGGGGCGGGCCCGGCTCTGACGCCTCCTGACCACGAGACCCCCGCCGCCCCGATGTGCTCCCGCCTCGGCTGCCTCCGTTTCAATGGGTTTAATAACAAAGCCCGATTTCCAGGTGATTGCTCTGCTATACGTGAACATGACTCGATTGATTGATCGGGTCATTGAATGAACGATCCATCAGTTTGATGGATGCCCGCATGAGACACTGCATATCGTGTGGCGCGGTGCTTGACACGTAGTAGGCACTCTACACGAAAGAATGATGAGCGAAGATGTTTCAGGCGAGATGCGACAAAGCCACACTTAGAACACCTCACCTCTCGCCAAGAACCTACCTGGCCATGACGGTTGGTTGGAGCCTCTGGTTTGTTCCCATTATTTGTAAATGTTTGCAAAACTTTGCCCCAGGGGCTGACTTGGAGAAAGTAAGTACTCCACAGATGGATTTCCAAGTTTTTTTCACACCACACCAGACAGAAAGCCAGGATAATTAGCAGGGAATGCTAATTACCCCCTCGGGGACCAGACCAGGGAACATCAGAGGGCGTCACCTCCATGCAGTAGGCACAGTCAGCCTTCGGGAGCAGTCAGCACGGTTCCTTCCCTTTTTTCTTTTTTTAAATGGCACTAAGTCATCATCTCTTATAGGAAATGATAGCAATGGTCAATGGGAGTTGTGTGTGCGTTTTTTAATATTGCGGTGAAAAGCCCACACCATAAAACTCACCATTAGTGACATTTAGTGCAGTGGCAATGCTGCGCAATCTCCACCTAGCTCCAGAGCATTTCATCACCCCAAAAGGACACCCCTTTCCCATTAAGCAGTTACCCCCCATCCCCCGCCTTAGCTCCAGGCCCTAGGCAACCACTAATCTCTTTTTCTCTGTGGATTTTCCTATTCTGGACACTTCCTGTAAGGCCTCCACTTCCTTATCTATAAAGAGGGGGATTAAATGAATTTACAAGATGTTAACCACAGTCACCACAGACTGTGGCAGCTACTGTTATGATTCAGCTGTGATGCTCGAGTTACTTCTTACCAAAAAGAAAAAAATCCTTAAATAAAAATGTCCTGCCTGCAAGTTTTTTCCATAAAAAACTTCTGTAGAAAAACATGTTCTAACTTGAAAAACGTCCATGTTTGCTAGCCTTCCCCTCAATGTATTTTTGCCCCTTGAGGCCAAGGACAGAGGCAGGGCCATGGGGATATTTAGGGGTGTCACAAGGGTTCCCCAACATCCCAAGTTAACAGGAGATATTTACACTTTGCTGTATAAATGCAAAACAAGCTCCCTGACTTCCCGCCGCAAGCAAATGCAGCTCCTGAGCCCCAATTTTGCGGAATCTCTAGACCATCCCAGGAAGGGCCTTGGTCTGTGATAGTCTCTGCTATATCCTCAACCACTGGTATGCAGTAGGTGCTCAATAACTGTTTCCTGGTCCTGGTACACAGTGGGTGCTTGATAAATGCTTTTTTGGCCTGGCACACAAAAAGTACTTGATAAATGTTTCCTGGGTTTGGCCCATAGTAAGTGTTTGATAAAGATTTGTTGGGCCTGATATACAGTGAGTGATCGACAAACACTTTGGGGCCCGGCACATAGTAGGTGCTCAATAAACGTTTGGTGGCTGCATGAACTCAAGCAGCGCCCCCGCCCCCACTTCAGAGGGCCTTTGCTTTCTTACTGGTGATAATGCATTGGGCTGCCACCTGGACTTGGGAGGAGACAGGTGTCCTCAGGGAGGGATTCAGGTCCCACTCACCGATATACTCATCCACTTGGATGTAGCCATCTTTGTTCTTGTCCAGGTCCTCCAGGGTTTCCTGTAGAGAAACAGGCATTGGGGCTGGCTCCCAGTGTGGGGCTGGACCCCCGGGGGCCAGGACGTGAAGTTCTCTCAGGGGCTCTCATTCTGGGGTGGCTATGGGGCCAGGCATTGGAGCAGTCTCGACAGGACGTAACTATTCTCAGAGGCACGTGGGAAACTTGGAGGCTTTCCATGTCACGACGTGGGTCCTACCTGCACTTAGCGGGTGGGGGCCAGGGAACCCAGATGTCCTGATGCACAGGTTGGATTCACATAGAGCCTTTCTGCATCCCTGACATCTTTCTCCTGCCCAGCCCACATGCTCCAAGGGCAGACTTGTCTTTTCCTTTAAAAGGCAGAGCGTAGACCCTAACTCCGTGTTACGTTTGAGCATGATGTGCTTGGCAGACCGTTTCGACACACGCTGAATATCTCTGCTCTTTGATTTTCCTTCAGTTTTCGAGCAAATGGATTCTGTTCCCCACTTTTACATTCAAACTCACTCATCGTAAGATGCTGCAGGTGTATGACACTCCACTTTGTCTTCTGGCAAAGTCTCCAGCATTTTAGGGTTGGCAGATAAAATACGGGACGATCAATTACATTTGACTTCCAGATGAACGACGAATAACTCTCTAGTATGAGTCTGTTCTGCACAATATTTGGGACATACTTAGAGTACAGGATACTGAGATACACTTGAGTTTCAGAAAAATAGTGTTTTAGCATAAGTATGTCCCAAATATTGCGTGGGATGTACTTACGCAATTATTGAAGAATTATTTGTTGGTATAAATCCAAATGTAATTGAATGTCCTGTGTTATTTGCTAAATCTGGCAACTCTGCAAGACACTTACATATTGAAATTCCCATTATTTATTATAAGCGACTTTCTTGTAGCTCCTTCTTTATAGTACAATCTGGACTAATATTCATGTTTTGAAATCCTGTATCGGGGGAGGTTACGCTCGCTATCCACAAACGTGAGAGATGACAGCAGAGTTTAGCCCAGGGCTCGGCAAACGTTTTCCATAAAGGACCAGAGAGCAAATATTCCTGGCTTTGCGTGCTGTATAGTACATGGAACTGACTCGCTCCGCAGTTGTAGCGTATGTAAGCAAATGGGCACGGCTGTTACAATAAAACTTTATTTGCAAAAACAAGCTGCGGGCCAGATTTGACCACAGGTTCTAGTTTGCTGACCCCTGGTTTAGACCACAGATTTAGCTGCCTGGGGTTCGAATCTCATTTGGGTGATCTCAGGCAAGTCACCTAACCTCTCTGCACCTAGGTACCCTTATCTGTAAAATGAAGATGACAGGCCACCCCAACAGGGTTGCCATGACAATTAAATCAAAGTAATGCAGGTAAAGGTGTCAGAAGGGTTCCTGGCACACAGAACATGCTCAGTCAGGTTTTGTTAAATAATCTCAACTCAGGAGAAAAAAGAAGTGTTATGACATTATCTGCTATAAAAGAGGAACACTGGGTCTTGCAAGAGTCTAGGGGGAGACCCAGTGATCCAGTGATTCCAATCCTCGAAGTTTTAACCTGTAGCCGTATTGACATGTGTGTGTAGAGAGACGTGATGAGCATCTCCCCCGGGCTGATTTTACAGTTTTACATGTATAAACTCATCTAGTCCCCCTGACTACCCCCGAAGCAGGGATCACTATCGGTACCATCATTTTACAGATGAGGAAATTCCGGTCCAGAGAGGTTACGTAACTTGCCCAAGGTCACACATCCAGGAAGCTTCAGGGCTGGGATGTGAACCCAGGCCTTCTGACCTCAGAGCCCTTGATCCAAACAGCCTTGCCATAGACCCCTAAAGCAGCCTTGGAAATGGAGACACAAGAAAGGGGTTACCTATGGGGGACAGGACTCGCTTGTGGGGGATACAGGATGGGGGACACAGTAGGAAAGAAGACTGTTCACTTTTTTTGCATCTTTGGGTATTTAACCACATCGATATGTTACCTATTTGAGAAATACATATAATTACATTTTTAAAGTAATCTGTGAAAAGTTAAGCATGGGCAGAGTGGGTATAAGTCCTGCCACTTGGAGTGACATGGGGGGGCGGCATTGGGGCAGGTATGAAAGATGTCGCCCTCCATGGATCTGTGCTTGTGGCCTGGGTTCCCTGGGGAAGGTGCGGGAGGACCGGGTGACTGGAATCCCCAAAGTAAGCGCTGGGGGGGCTGGCTCTCACTCACGGCAACTACAATGTCCCGCATGTGAGGGAACTCCTCTGGGTGCAGGAAGGCCGTCAGCTCCTCCCGAGTGGCCATCGAGTCCCCATCCTGGTCAGCCACCCGGAAACGCCGCTCGTCCCGAGCCATCATCTTCTTGTAGGTCTCCGCGTCCTCCACGTCGTGAAATTCTTCGCCTGGGAAAGAGGGGAGCTCGGTGAGCTGTGCTTTCATGGAGGGAACGCCAGGAGGTTGAGGAGGAGGACAAAGAGCTCTAATTGGGGGGCGGGGAGGGGAGGGCAGGGGGGCGGGTCAGGGCAGGAAGACCTCCGCCTAATTAATCATACGTGATATACATTCATTATTTGTACATATTTGCTACCTAATGGTGAGAGCCTATTATATGCTAAGTTCTTTATGATATTGCATTTAACTCTCATAAAAAGCAAGTGAGTTCCTTCGCTTTTTCTCATTTTATGAAGGAGAAACTTACTCCTAGAGAGGAAATAACTTGCCCGAGGTCATACGGCCAGTAATGACAGAGTTTGAGTTGACACTGGCCATTGGGCCCCAGGTAGCACTCTGACGCAGGAGGCTACACTGCCTCGGCTTGCTGGACAGAGAGCAGGGAAAGGGCATTTTCAACAGAGGGAACAGTATGTACGCAGTGTGGAGGTTTGCAGAATGTGCCGAGTTCCAGGAAACGGCGGAACATCCATTTGGTTGGGGCAGAAAGTTCAGGAAAACCCATCCAGAGGGTGGGCGGTGCAGGGCTGAGGAGCTGGGACTCTCTCCTGGGGGCCCTGGGGAGTCATGGGGGCTGTAGGTAAGGGAGGGTCGGAGTCAGCTCTGGGTGTGGGGAGACCCCTCTGGCAGTATCTGAAGGACTGGCTGGTGTGAGGGTACAGGAGGAAGACAACAAGAACTCTGGGGGGCTGGGGGCTGGGGCATGGGGAAAGGGAGGAGGGAACCCAAAGAGTCGGGGGGCAGGGTAAATAGCTTTGGGATTCTCAGGATGAGAAGTCAGAGGTCAGGGGGTCAGGATGATGGGGCATGGAAGGTAGATAGATGTCCCTCCCTGGTCAAGGATCTGAAGTTCCCCTATCCCGTGGTTACAGAGGTCGTAGATGCCAGAATAAGCCAGATATTGGGGTTTCTGGGTGATGGGGTCCTAGAAGTAGGTCGATACTGATCAAGGATCAGAGGTTAAAGGTCAGGTCATGGATTCTGGCTAATGGCCTAAAGGTTCTCAGGATGAGGGGGTCAAACAGGTCAGGGTCACGGTGCGTGTGAGGAACAGGGGTCGGGGTCTCCCAGCATACCGGGCGCGTAGTAGCCATAGGTGGCGTTGCGCAGCTCCTCCCAACCCACACGCCCGTCGCGGTCCGTGTCGTACGTGTCCCAGGCCGCGCTCACCGAGTCCTGTATGTGCCGCCGCTGCGTGTGCGCGATCCACGAGCGGAGCTCGGCCAGCGACACCCAGCCGTCCCCGTCCCCTGCGCGGTCCATGCGGTCCACGATGCGCCTGCGGACCGGACCGGGGCGGGGCGCACATCAGTCTCGGGCCCCGCCCACACGGGGCCCCGCCTTCGTCCAGGCTCTGCCCCTCAAGGAGCCACGCCCCCACTGGAGACACGGCCCCATGTGGGAATGAAAATTATGTCCACCGAGTCGCCCACAAACTGGGGGGAGGCCTGTGTCGATCCTGGGACCACGCCCACCACAGGGCCCCGCCCCTTCAGCCCAGGCTCTGCGTCCTGGGGAGATTACATCCAATTCGAGACCCAGAGGACCGCCGCTGGCGCTGCGACCCAAGACACGCCCAGGCGGAGGAAGCACCTACTACGGTCCAGGGCCATTCCCTCCGCTGTGGCCTCGCCCTTCCACCCTGCACGTGCTCCATCTCTGCCAAGTAGCCACACCGCGCCCCTGGCCCGCAGGGCTCCTGTCCTAAACTCCCTCCCAACTACGACTGGCACAGCCACACAACCCCCCGCCACCACCTTCTCTTGCCTGCTCAGGCCCCGCCCCTCTCCCCGGCTCCGTCCGTCTTAGGACCCTCCCTTCTAATCCCGCCTCCCGTCCCGCCCCCTCCCTGGATGCGCGGGTCAATTTCAGGCGCCCGAGCTGCGTCCCGCCCCTGCCCCCTACCTTTTCTCGCCATTATCAGGCATCGCACTAGGAGCATCGTCTGCGACCCCGCGGGCCTGGCTTCCACCACTCCCTTTCCCGTGCTCGGGTGGATCCCGAGCACCCCTCGCCCGTCTCATGTCAAGCCCCAGTCGGTACCATCTCACGCTCTCTCTCCGGCCCAGGCCCCTCCCCACTCCCCTGGCCCCGCCCCGCCGCTGGTTTGGATGAGTCTTCCTCTCTGTCACAGTCCCTAAGCCCCTGCGACCCCAGTCCCCAGGGTGGAATCCGAGTCATCCCTGCTGTCCCCTCCCGCGTCAAGCAGTCTCTGATGGGATCAGTCAGGGGCCGGCTCTGTCCTCAGGACTAACACCCTACCCTGAGGTTCAAGATGGTAAGAGCATGGGCTCCACATTTAGATATTCTAGTTTCAAATCCTTCAGCCTCCTCTTACAGTAGGCTGTGTGACCGTGGGCAAATCACTGCAGCTCTCTGTGCCTTAGTTTCCCCCTCTGTAAAATGAGAATAAATAACAGAGCCTACCCTACAGCGGGGTCGCGGGAAATACATTAGTTAAACCCTTGCGGAGCACTTAGGACAGGACCTGGCGTTGCAGCAAGTGCTCTGCCAAGTGTGGCAGCCTCTCGCCGCCTTTCCTCTCTCTCATCCTTCACCCAACCCCATCGGAGCGCAATCTCCCAGCCAGAAATCTGGCCATCTCCACCCTGATCTCATCGCCATCGTCTTTCATCTCTCATCTGGACTCCTGCAGTAGCTACCCCACGGGGCTCCCTGCTTCTTGCTCCCTATAGCCTGTACCCCAAATAGCAACCAGAGGGGTCCTGTTAAAATCTTCTTTCCCCTCATCCTTCACCCAACCCCATCGGAGCGCAATCTCCCAGCCAGAAATCTGGCCATCTCCACCCTGATCTCATCGCCATCGTCTTTCATCTCTCATCTGGACTCCTGCAGTAGCTACCCCACGGGGCTCCCTGCTTCTTGCTCCCTATAGCCTGTACCCCAAATAGCAACCAGAGGGGTCCTGTTAAAATCTAAGTCAGCTCAAGTCCTCCCTCCGCTCAGAGCCCTCCCGTGGCTCTCATCTCACTCAAAGAAGAGCTTAAATCTTCACCCGTTTGTTCTCTCTCTCCGCCATCAGCTCCCACCCTCTCCCTTCGCTCACTGGGTTCCAGGCACGTGGGCCTGACTGTTCCTCAAACAAATCAGACCTATTCCTGCCTCAGGGCCTTTGCACTTACATTCCCTCGGCTCGGAACGCTACTCCCACACATATCCACACAGACTTCCGCTGACCTCCCTGTTTTAAATTACAACCCTAAATCTTTCCACCCCCACCCCCCATCTTTCTCCTACCCCAGCCGGGCTTGGCTTTCCTCTGGGCTGAGCTGGTCGAATTCCTTGGCCACCTCTCGTCCCAGAAAAGCCTCATGGTCGTACTGGAAGTTCCCGTGAGCGTCATCATGAAGGGCCTCGCTCAGGGGGGCCGGCTGGTGGACCCTCCCCTGGCCATGAGGGCCAGCGTCAGGGGACGGCTTCCCCTGGGCCCCGTGCCTGAGCAGCAAAAGCAGCAGCAGAAGCGATGGTCGCCACATCATCAGTCCCTGGGGAGCGACAGAGGCTAGGAGTAAGGGGTAGGGAAAAGGACAGAGACGAGACAGGAACGGGGGAGACCTAGAACAGGACAGAGAGGTGGCAGCTGGCTGCAAAGTTTTGGGCTCAAGAGGGGGCGGGCTTGGGGAAAAAGGGGACAGGATCTCAGAGGTGAAACCAGCTGTGGGGACGGACTCTTCTGAGGGAGACCCAGAGGGGCCCCGGAGCCGCAAGTGGGGGGATCCAAGAGGGAGACGTGGCGCACTTCCCACGCAAAGTGTGGGGCGGGGTCGTGGCCAGAGAGAAGTCATGCAGGCTCCCGAGCGTCGTTTCCAGTCTGATCCTAATCCTCGACCCAAGAGGACCCGAGCCGTCCCCCCTGGCCCGGCCACCCGCCCCCGCCTCTCTTTACCGAGTTATCCAGTCTTACTTCTTTCTCTACGCTGCACTCTGCGTTATCCAAAAAGATGCCCAATTTGGCGGCTCTCCAGCCAGGCCCCGCCTCCGGCAGTGCAGAGGCCCCGCCCTCCGACCAATGAGCGCTCAGGAGGGCCCACGGGGCGGGGCCGAGGAGAGAAGGGTGGGCCGCGGGCGCCCCTCGCCACGTCCACAAAGGAGAGCGCGGCGCGAGGCCCGGCCCCGCCCCTTCCCAGGGCGGGCGGGGTGGGCGACGCCCGAGGACGCAGCGGGGGCGAACTACAACTCCCGGAGGGCGTCGGGGCGCCCTGCCCGACAACCACCAGTTGCCATAACTCCAAAGCCTCGTGGGAGATGTATTTTTATCTCTTCGCCTTTGTCAGCCTGGTTTGAGTAAAAAGGGAACCCAGGGGCCAGAGGGGGCACCCCCTTCCCTGATTAGAGAGAACAGTTCTTCCGCTCCACCAAGGAGGCAGATCAGACTCCAGCCAAGAATTCCTCAAAATGCCTGGCACAGCGTAGGCAGTCAGTAAATATTTGTGAAACACGAATGAAAACTACATGACTTGGCATATCGAAGTGGCAGATTCCACCACGGCGCCATGTTAGCCTCGGGGGGAGATCTGAAGCCCAGAGCTTACACCGTTGATTTATTCCCCACACCCATTCCCTCACTTCCCCCTCTGCAGAAGTGGAAATAACGAGAACACAGTAATTCCGGCCCAAACTCGTGTTATATATTGAGGTGGAAAAGATTCATATATATCAGTAAGGGAACCGAGGCCAACCACAGGAGGACGAATCCAGAGGGAGGACGAATCCAGAGGGAGGACGAACCCAGAGGGAGGACACGGGGCCCAGGACTCCTGGAGGCTCAGAAATTCCAGGAGGTCTCACAGCATGAAAGGGACCTGACTACATTAGCTGGTAGCAGCCAGGATGGAAGACGATCTGGCAGCCGCTGGGGATGCTTTTATGTCCTAAGAGTCAGCATCCTTGGGCAGGCCAGGCGTGGGTAGGAGGGCCCCTCCGTCGTCCGCACGGAGAGAGATCCAAGGGGCTGAGGGAAGAGAAAGGGCGGAGGTCATCAGAATTTGAAATCCTCTGAGTCTGTGCCCCTCCGGCGTCTGCGTGTCTGTGTGTTTCTCTCTCCTACTCTGTGGGTTTCTGCCTACCCTCCCCACCTCCAGTCTCTGTTTACCACCTCCAGTTCTGTGTCCCCACCACTCTCTGTCCCTCTCTGTCTAGACCTCTGCCCCCACCCCCATCTTTCTGCGTCTCTGTTACTCTCTCTGAGGCTCTTCCCTCTTCCTGCCCCGCACCTGGCATCCCGGTCTGCATCCTCCTCCACAGCAGGACTCCTCCTATGACCAGTGCGACGAACAATAAGACGCCGATGACGATTCCAACCACTGCCATGGAGGACCTGGCTGGTGATTCTGTAGCCAGAGGAATGCTGTGAGATGTCGAATGGACCCTTCGCCCCATCTGAGCCAACTGGGGGTTCTCAGTCCCACCCAATGTCAGGGATCCCAGCACCAAGTTTTGGGGCATGGATGTGGGCAGAGAAAAGGCCAATCAGCTGGTGCGGTAGGCCTGGGCAGAATGTCCCCAGATATAAGAACCAGCCCTAGCAAAAGCAGTCTCGGTCACCCTGGCCCAGGGGCCTGCAGCAGGAAGGTGGGTGGTATTAGAACGTGGAGCAGAGGGGCGCGCACAGAGCAGAAGGTCCAACTCAAAGCAGTAAATGGTCAGTCCCGGCGAGGACCGACAGCAGCAGGGAGGACGGTCCACAGCGGTTAACGGGTGGCCAGACCCAACGAGGCCAGCAGCAGCAGCATGTAAGGCAAAGGAGGACAGATAAGCAACACAGGGCACGGGGCTTTGGAAGAACGGGCAGGGCGGGGCGCGAGGCAGTTAGACTCCAGGCGGACTGGCAGCGGTGGGCTGGAGGGCGGTCGGACGCAGAACGAAAAGCAATCGGGCAAAGGGAGTGATCACCGCCCGGTGGAGCCTCACCCAGTTCCACAGTGAGGGGTTGTGGCAGCCCCACGTGCTGCACCAGGCAGCGGTAGTGGTGTTCGTCGCCACTTTTGACCGTTAGTGACGACCAGGCGTGGAAGGAGCCGTCGCTGTTGGGGCCGAGGTGGCTCTCACCGGAGCCCACCGCCAGCTCATTCCTTAGGAATCGCAGTTGCAGCTCAGGGGGGTAGAAGGAGAAGGCACTGCAGGTGAGCACGGAAAAGCCCGGGCTGCCTGGTCGCGCCTTCAGGCGCATGGACGGTGGCTCTGCGGACAAACAAGCAGAGCGGCCTAAGTCCCAAGCCCACGAACCCCCAGTGCACTGGGCCAGGCCCAGCCCAGAGCTGGATAAGGACAGAGACCCGGCCTAGCCGCCGTCTCTCATCCATTCCTTCCTCTAGTTGACGTGTACTGAGCAACGATCATGTGCCAGGCGCTCTTCTCGGCACTGGGAACACAGCAGTGAACGAGACAGACACGAGTCCCTGTCCTCGCGGAGCTTACGTTCTAATGAGGGGAAGAGACAAATATGTGTGTACGAGTAAGTAAGTTTCTGAAGGTGTAGTGATGAGAGCAAATAAGACGGACCCTACGGTCACGAAAAAGATAGCGTAAGAGGGTTATTATGAAATACTTCACGCCGGTGCATTTGAAACTTGAATGAACTGGGCACATTCCTGAGAAATAGTTTCCAAAACTGACGCAAGAAGAAATTAATAACTTGAGTAGTCCTATAACTATTTTTAAATTTTAATCCATAGTTTAAAACTCTCAACAGATAGAATTCCAGGTCCAGATGACATCATTGGTGGATTCTCCAAAGCAACTAAGGAAGAAATAATACTACTCTTCCACAAAGCCTTCCAGGGAATGGAAAAAGAAGAAACCATCCCCAGCACTTTTGATGAAGCCAGAATAACCTTAATAACAAAACCTCAGAAGGATATAACAAGAAATTCAATTTAAGGCCAATATCGTTCTTGAAAATAGACTTAAAATCCCTAAACAAAGTATAAGCAGATAGAATCAAACAATTTACATTAGGATCGTGTGAAGTTTATTCCAGGAATGCAAGCTTGGTTTAACATCTGAAAATCAGTTAATATAATTCACTTCATTAGAATAAAAAGAAAAAAAGCAAATAGTGGTTTGCTAAAACTCAGCACCATTCAAAAAAAAAAAAAAATTTAAAACAAAAACTCAGCAAACTAGGAGTTGAACGGAAACTTCCTTAATCTGACAATGAGAATCTATCAAAAACCCATAACTAACGTAATACATACTGGTAAAATGCTGAATTCTTTCTCAGGGAGTCTGAGAATTATCACTACTCTATTCAGTGACATACTGGGGGTCCTAGCCAGTGCAATAAGAAAAAAAAAAGGCATTAAAATTGGAAGAGAAAAGAAGCAAAATGACACGATCTGAAAGAATCTATAAAAAGTTAACAGAAATAAGTGAATTCAGCAAAATTTCCAGATACAGAGAAATATGCAAAAATCAATAGTATCTTATAAACTAGTTACAAACAATCAGAAGATAAAACTTTTAGAATTACCATTTACAGAAGCATCAAATAATGTCTAACAATTAGGACTAAATCTAACCAAAGAGGTGCAAGACCTCTACACAGAAAACTACAAAACCATTACCGAGAGAAGTTAATGGGCATCTAAACAAGTAAAAGGATGTACTGTATTCACGAATTAGAAGACTTAGTATTGTGAGGATGTCAATTCCTCACACCGATCTATAGATACGATTTAATGACTATCGAAATCCCAATAGGGTGTTTGGGGGGCAGGTACTGACAAGCAGAAATGTACAGAGAATGCAAATGGCATAGAATAACCAAGGCGATAAAGCTGGAGAGCTTAACGACTGATATCAGAACTTTCTCCAAAGCTACGTTCATCAAGAGACTGAGGTACTGGCTCAATTTCAGTCCATCAGATCCGCAGGGGCGAGGGGATGACGGTCTCATAACAAATGATGCTGGGTCAACTGGGTATCCGTGAGGGACGCGTGAACCCTGAGCCCTTCCGTCACACTGTTACATGCAATGAATTCGAGATGGATCGAATAAACGAGCTACTGATTATCAATGAAGCTTCTAGAATGAGACAGAGGAGAATCCTTTCATCGCTTAGGAAGAGGAAAGATTTCTTAAAGAGAACACACAAAAGAGGTATAGAATAAAAGATTGACAAACTGATCTTCATCCAAATTAAGAATGTTTGTTCATCAAAAGGTTTCATTAAAAGCGTGAAAAGAGGACGTGGTTCCATAGTGTAAGGGTTAGCACGTCTGCTTTACACGCAGAAGGTCCTGGGTTCACACCCCAGTGGAGCCAAGGTCCATGGCTTACAGCCATTCACCCTGAACAAGCCTGATGTCTGATCTCGGAAGCTAAGCAGGGTCGAGCTTGGTTAGTACTTGGATGGGAGACCACCTAGGAAGACCAGGTGCTGTAGGCATAAATTAAAAAAAAATAAAAAAAGAGCCTAAAAGACAGGCTGCGGACAGGGAGAAATTATTTCTGAGAGAACCATTTGACATATCCAAAGGACTCAAATCAAGAATGTATGAAGATCTCTAATAAGAAAAAAAAAAAAAAAGGTAAAAATCCTGTAAAAACGAGTAAAAGACTCAAAAAGCCATTCCGAAAGAGTGGATACACCCAACTGGCCAATAATGTGGAAAAGTAGTCAACATCATCACTCGTCATTATCTCATTGATCTGACTTTATTCATCTGATTTTCATTTTTCACAACAGACCGCTACACATCCATCAGGATGATTAAAATGAAAGACACAGCATCGAATTCTGGCAAGCCCGTGCAGCCATGGCATTCACAGACATGGACCATGGGAGGACAGAACTGGTTCAACCACTTTGAGGAAGTGTTCGGCATCGCCCACCACGCCGATCCTATGCCTGCCCTACGATACAACAATCCACGCATGGGTATTTAGTCAAAACCAAGAAAAATACGAATTCATCAAAGACACGTCCAAGAATGTTCGTAGAGGCTTGACTCACGATAGCCTGAATCTGGGAATAAACCACCTGTTGATAAAATGTGGTACGAACCACACAATGGAATACTACTCAGCGATGAAGATGAATGAACTACCCATACACGCAACAGAGCCTCCCAATGCAAGCTCGCATGGAAGAAGCCAGACACAAGCGAGCACGTACTCACAGTGGTATGAAGGTCAAAATTAGGCAACGCTACGGTGATAGAGGTTAGGTTGCTTGTCAATCTTAGGGGGTATGGAATGGGAGGGGACCCAAGGCGGTCTCCTGGGGTCCTGGAAATGAATCCAGATCTTGATGCAGAGGGCAGGTACATAGCACATGAAAATTAATCAAAGCTATGTATGTACTTTAGATAGGTAAGTTACGCCTCAGTAAGAAAAAGGAAAAAAAAATTAAAGATTAAAAACGAGGTCAAACCTAAAACCCGAGAAGAACCCAGTCACGGCAGGGTCTCAAGGAAGAGAATCCCCGGCAGAGAGCACAAAGGTGCAAAGGTCCTGAGGAGTCAAAGAATCGGACGTGTGGGAGGACAGGCAGAAGGCCACCGGAGGAGGGAGGTAGCGAAATGACCTGCCAGACCATAGGCGCAGGTGGGCCGCAGTGCGGACTTAGCGTTTTTCAGTCTGAGACCAGTGGGAAGCTACAGGGATAGTTTTAGGCGGTGGCAGGGTGGGTGCCCGTTTATATGTTTCGAGATATTCTTCTGACCGCCGGCAGACGATGGTCTGCACTGAGGGCAGAGATGGAGGCTGGAGGGTGACCGAGGACGAGAGGGCTCTGATTCCAGCCCTTGGCACTTCCCCAGGCACGCCCCTCATTACAGCTCAGAGTGCCACGTGCTGTCATCGAGGTCACATGAGGGAGGCATTGTGGGAGCCCCAAAGAGGCAAGTGAAAAAAGCCTCATGGGCCAGAGGAACCTCCCCGGAGGTGACACCGGTGGAATTGGAAGAATGATGGAGGCGACGAAATGGAAGGCGTGAGCTCAAGGGACTCGGGGCGATTCCATCCGGCTGAGTGAGGCAGGTGGAGGAGGGTGAGGCTGAGGAGAGCGGCAGAGGCCACGCCACGCGGGGGGCGGGGCTTGAGCTGTGTCCTGGGGGCTCTGGGGGCTCTGGGAGCCACGCAAGGGCCGTGCCCAGGAGAGGGGCAGGGTCCGCTCTGGGGGGTGGAGAGAACCCCTAGGACCAGACTGGAAGCCCAGCCCCCAGAGAGCAGGCTAGGGGAAGAGGACCCGGCCCACGGTGGGGCCGTGGGGACAGAAAGGTCCAGAAGACCACAGATCTTTCTGGAGGCTGCTCACCCTTCCACTCCAGGTTGCCGCGGCCCCTCTCCAGATGGCCCAGCAGGCGCTGGGGACAGGAGTACAGCAGAAAGGTCTTCTCCTTGTTGACCGCCTCCTCCTGATGCTTCCAATGCTCACTGATGGTCTGGGCCTCAGGCCAGTCTCCACTCCAGGTGCCCGCCTTGGGGTCAAAGGTCATGAAGTCCTCGCCATTCAGGGCAAACTTGGCCACCGGCACCGAGACGTTGTCAGGGCCCAACTCACAGCCCAGCAGGCCCTGTAGGGTGTAGGAACCTGGGGTCCCCCGCACAGGTGAGCAGGGGCCCAACCGCACCCCCTGAGACCCAGGGCTCCAGCCCCAGCCCCACCCCCACCCCCGCCCCCAGCTCCTCCGCCCCCTCAGGCCCGAGTCAGGGGCCTCACCGCTTTTCTCTAAGACTGTGAAAGCTTCGAGAAAGAGCTTCTGCTTCTGCCTCAGGTCTGTGGTCTCTTTCTCCCAATACCAGGACACCTGGTTCTCCCAGACCCAAGCCCCGCACGGCTCGGCCTGCGCCCGCAGGTTATTGTAGCTCAGGTACTGCTGTGGACCCAGCCAGCCTGACACCCAGAAGGCGGGGGTCCCCGGGGCCGGGGACGACACGCAGGTTAAGTGGTACAGGAGGGAGCGGTAGCTGTCTGCCGGAGAGACACAAAGGTGAGGGGAGCAGGAGGGGACAGAGAGGACCGAGGCTGGGAACAAGAGGGACAGGACACTCGGGGAGCGGACTCCACGCCAGAAAGAAGGGACTGACCCTGAAAGAGGGGGGAGCCTCAGAGAAAGGGGGACAGGTGCTTCCATGACACACCGAGCGAAGGAGGAGAACGTGATAACGAAGCGTAGAAACGCGGCGAAGGAGGAAGTGCTGGCTCGAGGGAAATTCGGATTTTGCTTCGTCCGCTCTTTTCGCAGGGGCGGCCCCACCCCGCCCGCCGCCCCGCCGAGCGCCCCTCACCTGCGCGCAGCGTCTGCGGCGGGAGCAGCAGCAGGATCGGCAGCAGACAGAGCCCCCAGGGCTGAGGCCGGGGAA